GGGCAGGCCCGCCCCCAACCAGCTGCAGAAAAGGCTTCCACCTGCTCCCCTGAGCGACCCTACGCTGAGGGACCGAACCCCGTACCCTAGCCGCGCCCATCACCCACCCTGTGGCCTGGGCTCCTCCGACTTGAGGGTGAGTCTGGGATCTGCAACCAGCCCGGCCCCTGACCCCTATCCCAGGGCAGCCCAAGGCTTATTTTGCTGTATGCCCTCAGGACTTAGTTCTGGCCGATCATGCGTACCGGTTGGTTGTCTCCTCTGGCTGCCCAGGCCACCCAGGGCAGGAGGTGCAAGAACCCTGACCACAGCTGCAATGACGAAGCCTCTAAGGTGACTGGTGCAGGGCCGGGAGATGGTGAGACTAGGAGAGTGGGGGTGGGAGGCCCAGGCTGCACCATGCCCCCAGCACTGGGACCTGACAGCTGCTCAATAGCCTCCCGGCTCAGTCTCTGCTGGGGAAATGCAACTGGGCCTGCGGAATGCTGCTCTGTCATGGACACCAGTGGGGGCAGAGGGCTGGCTCTGCTGGCAGGAGGCTGCAAAGGAATGCTGCCAGGCTGAGCAGTCAGCAAGGTGGGGACCACAGGGCACTGGGCCTGGCAGGACCCAGGTAGTGGCTGGGCCACCATTGGGTAGAAGGGCCTCTGTGGGCCTCACATGTGATCCATGTCACACTTCAGATGCTTTTCTGTGCCCTAAACCCCCACCCCACTCCAAGCTGAATCCTACTCCATCTTTGGTTACGCTGACATTGCCCCCATCCTAACAGTACCACACAGTACCTCCCGCCCCTCCCCCTGCACGAGCATGTGGGCATTCACACCGGACCGTGCCCAGCTGTACAGTATCCCCTGGGTATGCCACCTTACTCATGGGTGGGCAGGGACTCTGGGGCCTGCTCAGAATGGCTCAGTTCTGGGTGTTGGGGAGGAAATGGGCAGAGGGCTAGATCCCAGGCAGGCACCATCATATAGTTTGATAATCTGCCCGTTAAAATTTCAGGGGCCTCTCCTGAGGCTAGTATGAGGATGCCTCAAGACAGCCTTCCCAGAGCCAGGGTGAAACATCTCAGAGGCAAAGATGGGGGTGTCCAGAGTGCTGGGAGGAGGGAAGGAATGCACATAGCTAGTTGGAGGATGAGGAAAGACCCTGGCAGAAAGAGATGGGAATGGATGGAGGGGACATGCCCCAGAGGCAGCCACTGCAGACATCCTCATCTCTGTGACCATGGTTGGTGTACAGACAACTGGCTTAGCTCCCAGAGGCTCAGGCTGAAGCCAGGCCAGAGTGGTCTCCAATGCCTGAGCAGCCAGTCACTTCAGAGCTACTTACCACCTCTTCCTCCATCCCAACCCACTTCCTCATCTGACTCAGGGGATTCTTGCCCTGGCCTGGGAGATGGCAAGGGAAGGATTACATACCATTGGTTGGATAAGGACAGTGAGGCCCAGGGCAGGGCAGATCAGGCAGCCAGGCACCAGCATCAGGAGCCAGGGAAAGGGGAGGCTGGGAGAGAGCAGCCTCCTGCATGGCTTGGAAGAAATGACTGCACAGGACGCTTCCCAGCCAAGGCTTGGATGGGGTATGGCCAACGAGATCGAGGTAGGGCTGCTGGCCCTTTTGGGACTGGCAGTGGCTTTGGCAGTAAAGCCAAAGGAGAGGTTGGGTGAGAAGGGAGGGATGTGGGGCTCAGTCTCCTGGAAGACCCCAGCTGCTCCCCTTACTTCTCTGGCCTACAGTCCGTCTCAGGGAGGCCCATGGCAGAGCCATCTCTGGGAGAGGCTATTGGCACCTCATCACAGGAGACCAGGCTGGAAGCGGCTGTTTGAAGAGCTCAGTCTGGTGGATTCAAATGGTGCTGCCCAGAGCCGAGGCCTGAAAGTTAACATCAACCAGAGCAAAGAGGGAGAGGAAGGGTACTCCAGGCAGAGGGAATGGCATCTGCAAAGGCCAGGAGGGAGGAGTTTAGCATCTGCAGGGAACTAGAAGCATATGATGTGGTGGAGTCTAAATTCTTGTTGGGTAGTTGTAGCCCTGTGAGGAGAGGCCTTGGCGAGGGCCAGGCCATGGGAGCTGCACCTCAGGGTGGGTCACCACAGGTTTTCAGGATGTAGGGTGAGGCTGGGTTTCTGTGGAAGGGGATCCCAGGCCAGATTCTCATGCCCCAGGGGCAATCCAGGAGTTGATGAAGGCAAGGGCTGAGCTCACTGATCCTTCAGACATTGGGGCTGGGGGCTGGCAGTGTCAGCAAAGCCAGGTTCTGCCTCTATAGAGGCCAGCTCACTGGCTTTTTCACAACTTCCCTAAGCACCTAGCCTCAAGTTGCTCTCCCCCGGAGGAGGAACAGACCCCAACTGTGTTGGTGCAGTCCCCAGGAATGGTTGGAGACTCACCTCTACTGAACCTGGAAAAAACTGCTCATGCTGGTCGGTGGGGACAGGGCTCAGCCAGGATGGGCATGAAGCTCTGTAGCTGAGATGTGGGGAGGAAATCTGAGTGAGCAGCCTCGGGGGGCGGATAGGGAATGAGACAGCACAGCACTGGGTCGGCAGGGGGCAGGGAAGTCAAAGCGCTCTACTAGCTGCTGACCCACGGCCCTGCAGGGTGGGGTGCCTTGGTCTCTAGGGGTGGGGATGCAGTTGGAGCAGGGTTGTTCCCCTGTTCTGCCTCCACTGGGCTCAGTACTTAATATGCCACGGCTGCCAGGTGGTGGGGCCTAATTCAAACCAGCAGGTTGCCCAGTTCCTTCCCATAGCATGAACGTCATGGCCTTGGCATTCGAGGTCTCCCTAGCACTTCCAGGATCCCCTCCCACCCTGTTGGTCCAAGTGAGCCTGGCCCTGCACATGAAATCTGGGGCACTCCTACCCTCCTCCTGGAGGTGAGCCCAGGGGCCAGCACCCCAAATGACTCTGATGTGCACTTGGTTCTAAGGATTTAATTCTCATCACTCCAAAGAGGGAGTTGCCCTTACTACATGTTTTTCAGATGAGGAGCTGAAATTTAAAGGTCAAGCAATTTACCTTGTTACCCAACTATAAAGTGGGTATGCGGTCTGAACCTGAGCATATACAGCATATGATTGTATCATAGAAGAGTTGCTCACAGAGGTCCTTTATTGCTCCCAAATCAAATCAAATCAAGTCAGAGGCATTGAGGCCAGAGGCATCCTTCCCAGTCTTTCTCTGGGCATCTGGCTGAGGGGGAGAGATTTTAGTTGCTGGAGGCACTGGGTGACTTGGGGCTGGGGAGTGCCAGCTCAAACCCCTATCCCCTGTGGGCCTTCTGGGAGGCCTACTCATCTCTGGGCCGGTCTGGGAAGGGATGAGCACCACTGGTCCATATGTCTGGTTGTACCAGACCTACATACCCTCTTTTGGGATTTATGGGCCAAGAGATTGGCAGTCCAAGGACTATTAGCCTCTGCTTACAGATGAGCAGTCAGCAGCCAGGGGTCAGGCATTCTGCAGGTCAGAATGCAGATATCTGTTCTGAGACCACAGGTCACTCCTTTCCTATGTCCTAAAGACTCTAGGGTTGAAGAGAAACACCCTTCCCAGACCTGCTGACCATTAATGTCTGCTCAGTCTGTGGGGCTGGAGCTTGATGGCCTAGAGATGGTGAGTGGTGAATAGGCAGGTGCCTGGCACGACCCCACCTGAGGCCTGATGACTCAGGGAGAAGGGGCAGGGGCAAGGGAACACTGTTTCTACCTCTGAAACCTTTCAGACAGACAGACCATTAAAGCCTCCTGCTCTTGTGTGTGTGTTGTCGTAGTAGGCTGTCCTTGCCTCATACTCACCAAACACTGTATGGAGCCGCCCAGAACCGGTCCAGAGGCCAGTAAGTGCCATTTTCTTCCAGGGCACCCAAACCATCTCTTTGAGCTGCTGACTCCTGAGAGGCTGCTGCCTTTACAGCATCAGTGAACTTCTCTGGGCTGAGGAGTCCTCTTGTAGTTTACCCAACTCATTAGATCACACATCCCTCCTAGACTTGAGGCTTTTCCCTCTCACTATGCACAGGAGCAGAGTCAATTCTCTCTTCTAAAAACCAGCCATCTGAGCCTAGGCTCTTCCAACTTGTAAGGTAATCCTTCCTGATCCCTCATCTGGGCCCTAGTTTGCATTACTAGTGTGCCAAACAGCTCACTCCACACCTAGGGCTTCCTTTCCCTTCTAAACACTGACGCCTGGCCAGTGGTCACAGCTGACTGTGAGGGGTATTTTCCTTGAACTGTTACACCTCCAATTTAATGCCCAGATAACAAGAGTCAAAACCAAAGCCCTTGACACATTTGCCCCCAAAACTGACAAGCTGATCAAAATTATCATTATCAGAATTTGAATAAAGATTCTGGAGCTCACTAAAAAGAAACCTCACTTGGGCATTTGCTTAAAGACACTCTACAATTTTCTTGAAATTTTAAAGCAGTGTATCTTTATTTGGCTATTGTCAGAGATTTCCTGACTCATGGGGGGGGGTCTACTGTTCACTCAGTTATAAAAACTGAATCTCTGCAAGCCTTACTGTGTGAGAATGTGTAAGAAAATACACATTCCTTTGTGGTCTGAGGAAGAAAAAAGTTAATTGTAGTTGCCCTGCAAATTCCTATGTGGATGCTAAAAATACCACGTTTTCTCCAGGATGAGTGCTCTGTGCCTGGTGCACTGCTGCTGGGAGTGTGAAGGCTGTAGGGGGTAACAGCAGGTAAATGTTGCCACACCTAGGCAGCTCACAAAAGGGATAGGGTGTATTAATGCTTCTCTGGGTAGGTGGACATCTTTGCCTTTCACTCCAGAACTCCAGAAGTCCTTTCTAGCTCCCCTTCCACCCCACCCCTCCAGGCAGCTAGAACACGAAAACGAGCCATGGGCCACAGAGATGAAGATCTTCACTGGTGGGCCAGCAGAGACTCAAGTGTTTCCTTTTCCACTTCAAAAAGACTATGTGAAGTCCAGATGAGTACAGACAGATGAAACAAGCACAGACTCAGATTTAGACTAAGTATATATTTTAATTTCTACAAGGTCCCCCTTTCAAGTTTTAGGGAAATTTAAGTGTATACAAATTAGATACTGCCAATGTATGTACAAAAAGCATTTTCTACAGTTTTTGAACAATACCAGCTATATATATGGTGTTTCATTTGCAGTAAATAGGATGTTACAAAAACAGTCCAATAATGTATTTTCTTTAAGAAGCACAATATACAATGCAATTCACTTTTATTAAAAAATAACTTAAAATACAGAACAATCCCCTTTAGGAAGAAAAGCTTTTTCTGTAGTTCATTCAGTAAACACACAAATTGAATGCTGCAGCTGAGTGTTCTTTTTTGTGGACAAAACAAACAAGGCTTCTAGGGCCCACATTTTCAGGGTATCATTCCACCTATAGTCCCAGTGGGGAAAGTTACTGCCCTGGGGTAGGCAGAATACTAAAATGCCCTCCCACCAGTCCATCCCCGACCCCAGGGACCTTTGAATGTATCAGTCCTGTGATGATATTCTATAGCAGAGTTGTCCGTAAAATGGGGAAACTTTTTTAGTGGGCTTGATCTAATCACATGAACCTTAAAACAGGAGAAAGGCAGAGATTTGAAGCATGAGGAGGACTTGACAGGCTTGGCGGGATTGAAGATAGATGGGGCACATGCGAAGGAAAGCAAGCAGCCTTGAGGAGCTGAGAGAAGACCCTGGCTGACAGCCAGTAAAGAACTGAATACTGCCAATGACCTGAATGAACTTGAAGATTCTTCCCCAGAGCCTCCATAAAGGAATGCTGCCCTGCTGACCCTTGATTTCACCCTTGTGTGACCCTAAGTGGAGGAATCCAGCCATACCTCACTGGACTCATGAGCTACAGAAGTGTGAGCTAAGAAATGAGTGTTCTTTTAAGTTGCTAAGTTGGGGTAATATGTTACACAGCAGTAGCAAACTAATACAATGCTCAAGGGTAACTTTTCTTAACCTAATTAGATTTGCCAGTTTCTGTTTGGGTTCTGAGTGGTTTTTTCCACTGTGTATCATTAAAGCAATATTCTCTTTTGCAGGCAACTTTTGAAAACCCTTTAAGAGACTCACAAGTTATGTGTTCACTGGCAAATACATTTGTCCGACTTAGGTCCTGTTTTCTAATGTCCTCCTGTCTGTTAACTTGGTAAACAATTGACCACTTAACTCTGGCTATGAATCTTTATGGGTGACGGTTTTAATATATCCATTGTCACCTCTCTGTCCATCAAGTACTGTCAGATCCCTCCAACTGAGGGCTCTTGCCCACTTCCCAAGCACACCAGGTAAGGCCTTGGGGTAGGCTGGTGAAGAGCTCTGTATCAGATATCACGTATGATTTCTCCTGCCTAACTGGACTAAACTGGCACTCAGGTGATTAAGTACACTTTGGGAAAAACTCAACCATTAAATGAAAAAATAACACCAGTTTTCACAGGTCAAATCACTTCTGTAGGAACAACCTGAAACTGTGAAAACGTGTCATTTATGCAGTACTGTACATCCTACTCGCCCTGTCATCCTGGGTTTGCTCACATCATGCACGGTTTCACAGTCCATGTGGGTCAGAGTAGAAACAGGAAAAGCATGCTATTGCTCAGAGCAGTTCAACAGTGTTGTGATGTATCTCTTACATGAAAGAGTTAAAAGGCCTGCAAAATGTCTCCAGGATGATGGCAGTTAGATTTTGTTACTTCTGAAATCCACTCTTCCAGAGGCACACACATTAGTGATGTGCATCAGGCCTGAGTAGACACACAACCCCTTATGCCAACCCTGCCTGCTCCAGGAGGGCTCCAGGCCCATGCCTGTGCTTGAGAGAAGCCTTCCAATACAGCTCAGAAGGAACCATGTTTGGTACCAGGAGCTGGGGGCTGGGGGGTGCACATTTTTCTCTTTCTTATGAGATATTAAAATATAGTAAATAAGAACAATGCTTAAAAGAAGCACCAAAAGGGACCTAGCACCAAAGCATGATGGAACATAATTGTTTTTACAATTTAAACTGCTGATAGTATTTCTTAAAAAGAACATACAACATTACATCCGTAGAGACAGTGCAGGTATTATATGCTAAGGCTCATTTATTCTTCTCAACTTCACCTACCAGCCTGAAGAAACAGAGACAGTGGGCTGTAGGATGACTACTTTCTTGATTCTCTGAGACAACACAGTAAGAATGAATTAAGAAGCCCAGAGTCACTGCCTTCTCTCCTTCCTGGGTGGTTTGTTTTTAAGAGCACACATATGTAAGACTCTGGGTAATGGGTATATAAATATTTGGCCACCTTTAACAGTTCTCCTTCACATTTTTATGCTTGGCAGTACATGTGCCAACAACTGAAAAGGGCAGAAAGAATCTATTCTAAACAATATGAGATGAAGAGAAATGGTCTATCAAAATATTCCAAAATTACTCTTATAGTTCATGATTTCTTGATTCAAGAACATGAAATTCATTTCCATAGTTGGCTACTGTAGAATGTGGCATAAAAATATTTTAGGAGATGTGTTTGTATTTTAAATTCTGCACACATGAAAATAAACAAATAACAATTAAGAAGTGGCTAATATTGAAATTATCTTGAATATTGAAACAGAACAACAGACCACCATTAAGTTTCTTAAACTTTTAAGTTATCAGATATTTACAAATAGGTATAATTCATATCAAAAAGGGGAACATTTTCAACTGTATCGGCTGCTTTCACTGGGGCTCCGGTGATGAGAGTAACTTCGATCACTTTCACTGTCAGAACCGTAAGATCTACAACTCCTGTAGAACAAAAAAAACATACAAACACTGTTAACTGTCTACCCTCCAAATTCCTCTTACAGCTTCTTCTTTGATGTGAATGGCTTGACAGCAATATAGATGTGGCATAGCAGTGGACGCACAAAATGGGGTACCGACTGTCGACTTTTCAAAGACACTTTAAATGACAGATATTACCAAGGTTAAGATAAAATAAAGAAAAGTTAGATCTTGGGAATTTACTTGAAATCCACTCATGCAAATGAGAATAATTTCCAATGTTACCCAAAATGAACATCAATAATTAGACTGAGGAAACAAGGGAAAAAAGGTGTATGAGAGTTTCATTAAACATATGGAAGTCAAAATGAGGGCCCAAAGAGGGGTGAGTGGGGATGGAACATGGACAAAACCATTGGGTAGTTGAGTCGAGGACCTGGTTATGGTCACCATTCAGTCATTTTGGAAAATATTCACTGAGAGCCAGTCACTGCTAGATGCTGCAGACACAAAAGCAGATCGAGGGCAGTTTCCTGGGGCCCAAGGATAGTACAGAACAGTGGGCAAGACAAATAAGGCACCTGGGGATGAGGGGAGGTGGGGAAGGGTGGCTGAGGTCTCAGGGTTAGCAGTCAGGGATAGCTTCCTGGGGCAGTGGGGTGCAGTGGAGACCTGCAAGGTAGATAGGTGGAAACTGGCCATAGTAAGAGGCAAGAAGGGAGATGGTGGAGTGGCTGCATGTCTCCAGCAGAAGGAAAGGTTCTAGCATATTAAAGGAGAGAAGACAGAAAAGCCCGAGCTGCAATCGGTAGGTGGAAGGGCCTTACATGTAATGCTAAGGAGCCTGGACCTGCTCCTGAAGGCAGTTGGAGAGCCTTGAAGAGTTTCAATCAAGGGCAGGTCCAGATCACACTGTTATTTTACAAGGATCACTGACTATAACTGCAGTGGATGGGGGAAGGGTAAGACTGAAAGTCATCATGATAGGGACATTACAAAAAGCTACTCTGAAGATTTTTGCACACTACTAAAAATGTTATGCAAAACATAATACTTATAAATATATATAGAGAGAACATATTTTTACTAAATGATGATAGAAACCTTAATCCTGCTGAAATACATGATTATATCATTTTATTATATGTTCTTCAGTTTAAAAAGTGACAAATCAACTTTGCTATTTCTAGCAACTAGCCTTATTTAATTTAAAGTGGGCCATGGTGGAGTGACTACCTCTTTACTCCTTTCAAAAAAAAGTCTGCCCAAGAGTACGTGAATATTTAAAAATCCACTTTAGATTTGAACATTACCCAGCAACTCTTAATGCAAAGGCCCCTTTTCGTAGCTCCCTGTGGGTGGCCGGAATACTAGAGAAAGCAGTACTTCCTCAGATCACACTCTCCCTCCTCCTGCAGCGTCGCCTCCCGCAGCGTTGCCTCGCGCCCAAGGGCCCACAGCGGCCTGGGGGGCTCCAGAGGAGAAGACCCACCTGGACCGCCTGCCGCGGCCCCTGCTCCGGTGGTAACTGTCACTCCTTTGGCTCCGGCTCCGGCTCCGGCTCCGGCTGTAGTAGCTGTCGTACGTGTAGGACCTGCTTCAACAGCAACACACACACTGAAATGTGCCCAGTGCTCACACAGTCCCATTTCTTTTTAGGATTTTCAGTGTTCCCTTGGAACGTGGGCACTATGTGACAGCGAGAGGACACATTTGCTCACCAAGTACTTGGACACATTTAACAACTGCTGCAAATGAGACTTACTATATTAAACAGAAAAATGTTGATTTCTTTTCTGCATTGAAAAATATCACAAAATTAACACTGAGTTAAGACTGAATCTGGTGGATCTTATTAGGAAATTATGTTCAATACACACCTGCCACTAGAATCTGACACCAAATGTCACTTTTGACACTATGGTTCAATGGGCTAACAGATAAAAACTGTCAAAATGATCTCATTTCAAAAGGGTGTGATTTCGTGAGAAAAACACGTGTTAAAGTTTTTCATTAATATATGACACTTTATAAGAGGGAATTAAGGAATCAAACATGGCCTTCAAGTCTACCCCCCGCAGATGGTTCCCCGATCCCTGTCCGTACCTGGACCGACTGTGGGGCTCATAGGAGCTGCTCCTGGACCTGCTCCTGCTGGACGTCCTAGTATCAATCACATGAGGGAACATCATCCTGTGGCTCAGGGCAGCCATATCAAAAATCTAGACATTCATTTGCCCATCAAGGAGAAAACAGTGAAATCCAGCAGCTACACTTTGTTTTCATATCAAAAGTATATTGTTTTTGTTTTGAGCATGTTGGATTTTGTAAGAAAGATTAAATTCTATGCAGTCCTTCTATGAGGCACACATAAACAAATTCACTATGGAGGCTCCAACTAGGTAGGAAGAGGGAATGGTCTGCACAGGTTGGACTCTTGTAAGTAAAATAAAGCTGTAGAGTGCAAACTATCTCAGAGGCAAAAGAGGTCTGTGGTGCCAGGAGGACTACAGACCTGGGTGGCCCTCCACACATTTCTTCCCTCAGCTCCTCACCAAGCCTCCTATTCCAGTCCCTGATCCACATCAGGAGGTGACAGCGGACTGAACTTAGGTTAAGGAAGACATACTGGGGTCAGGGAGGTGGAGAGAGTGGCCAGGGCCTCTTTTAAATGTTTCTACTACTTTTCTTTCTTCACTCTGGTAAGATCCCACCTTGAGAATGGTCAGTAAGAATCCAACAGCTCTTTGGAATAAAGGACTAGATAAGAAAACAGACCTGTCTAGTATTCAGCAGCGACAGGATTCTTCTCAACGGCTACCCCTTTATGCCTGTGCAGGCCCTGAGAGCAGACAGGATGGAGACCCCAGAGGAGGGTGGGATTCACAAGCTCACCTGTGGCTTTTGTAACTACGGTAGGAACTGCTCCGGCTTCTTGTGCGGCCTCTGCTGTACCATCCTCTGCTCCGACTTCTAGAGTAGCTTCTTGACCTACAGTTCAGAGTGGAAAACTATTTACTCACTATGCTGTTAAAGCGAGTTACAACCAGAGAAAAGGCCTCTGGAAGGACCTTTCACCAACTCCTCACAGTGGGTACAATCGTGACAGCTAATGAGGGTTTAAACTGAACAGAATAAAATGAATAAAAGCCAGCAAAGGCTACTACTGGTATGTTCACTGGAGCCCTATTTGTAATACCAGAATAGGAACTAATTCATATCTTCATTAACAGTGGAATGTGTTAAAAAAATACACAGATATACACTAAGATATTCTCAAGTAGGACAATGAACAAACTACAACCATGTGTATCAACAGAGTTACCTCTTTGGACATGATGTTGGGTAAAAAGAGGCAAATGTAGAACACCTCCATACATACCGAAGGGTTTTGTGTGAAAACATTTAACAGTAACACTGTACACAGATAGAAACATTGTGGGAAAATAGTAAAGAAAAACAACATTATGATAAAAGTTTGAAATAACATTTAACTCCCAAAAAAGTAGGGTGGCACTGGGTAGGGGCTATACCAGGTATGTCCAAGTTCTATATTTTTAAGCTAGATGACATTTTCTATTACTTTTTTATACCTTTACCATTTTATATTTTATATATCTATTTAATAGTTAAAAAAATGAACAGAAAACCTAAGTAATGCAATTCTGCATGTCTGCACTTACCTGGCTCCCGCCCTTCTCCCCCTGACTCTACACCTGTCATACAGGAATGGAACAATGCTCCTATGTAGAGGCTACCTATGTGATGTTTTCAAAGGTTTTATTAAGTGTACTTGTGTTTCAGAAGACATGATCTGCTTTCTAGTTATCTGCAAGAAAACATGTTCTAACAAGATTGTAGTTAGTTACTCAACAAACAATTATAGAGCAGATTCTGTGACGTGACTGAGAGATGAGTAGGGAATGGTCTCTGACTTCAGTGACTTCACAGCCTCATAGGAGAGTCAGGCCCAGGCAGGTAACCAAAACAGAGGCAGTCTACTACCTGGTAGCTGCATAACTCAGAGCAAATTCGTTAGCCTTTCTATACCTCGCTGTCTTCCTTTATGAAATGAAATCCTAGCCAGCATTCCAAAGGCAGTGGTAGGAGGGCAAATGAGAGTGTCCAACATCACCAGCAGCTGACTGTGAGTGGGAATGGCAGGTAGGAATCAAGCTCAGAGGAGGCTGGAGCTGCCAGACAGGCACCTTCATCTAGGAGGATGGCCCTAGAGAGAAAAGGCCCGCTTTCACCAGCTCTCTGGGCCTGCTGGGAGTCAGGATAGAGGAGGATGAGCAACCCACAACACAAGCTCGGAACGGTCCCAAGGGACAAGGAGAGCTGGAAGAGGCCTGCGGAAGGGCTGACAACATGCTCTGGTACTGGCCTGTGCAAGTACCTGGGAATCCTCGTCAGTTTACTGAGGTCAGGAGGGAAGGCACAAAAGAGACTGCAAGCAACTGAGGAATATATCATTACAGTTACTACAGATCTAAGTGTTGGCTGCTATTTTTAGAGAAACCTAGTTGAATAAGGGAAGAAAGACTGATAAACAACTTGAATGGAAAAACATGGTCAAAAATTCTTACTGTGTTTTAAGTTAAAGTGATGAAAATGAAGCACGACACAGTAAGGGATATGAATAATTATGACAGTAAGGTCATATTTATAAGAAATATTTATAAGAAAAAAACACAAATTACTCATAAAATTTTTATCACCATCACCAATTTTTTAGTTTAAAAAAATTCTCATTCTCTGCACTACCCAGTTTTATGCTGATGACAAAAATTAGAAGCAACTTATACCAAAAAAAAAAAAAAACCCAGAACAAAACCACTAAAGATAATCATTTTTACCATTTCCTTCCCTTTGAGTAAAAGATCAACTAGATGCGTGTCTTAGGTCGGGAACTCTGCCTCTCTGGCCCTCACCTTCCATTTGGGTACAATGAAGGGTGAGACTAATGATGTCTAAATCCCGTATATTCTGTAACTTGAGGATTCCCTTTCTAAGGCATAATTGACAGGTAAGAGAGCAGCCTCACACGTTTGAAGACAAAGTCACCACCTTACATGGCAACTCATGTCCACTGCCAGAAAGCTTTAGTCGATGACAATAGTTTTTCTTTTATACTGAGCCCACATTTCTTACCCTGAAATCACCACTCCCTTTGTCCTCAATCTGCTCTGAGTCACACAGCACAAGACTTCTCCTTATTCCCTTCCAAATAAATGGAAATAGTGATCTTGTCCCTAATTCTGATGTTCTTCCAAGCTGAACAGTAACAGGGTCTCCTTGGGAGAAAAAAAGGACAGAGAATATTGCTCACCGATAGGATGATGTGGAACTTCGAGATCGACTTCTTGAGTGACTGTAGGAGACAGACCTTGTTCTGCGTCTTGATTTGGTTTCAGATTTACTTCGAGATCTACTTGGACTCCTGGACTGGGTATCACCATCCCGACTAGGTGTTTGCTCATCACTTGAACTCTCTTGATTTCTTGGCCTCCGGTTTAAGCGTGCTGTCTTTCTTACTTCATCAAAGAGAGACCCAGGCCGAACTTTATTTTTAATTTTAATTTCTATTCTCAATCCTTGTGGTTTCATTTCAGGAACAGTTGCCAAAGCCTTAGCTTCCACAGCACTGGCTGTGGTAGCAGCTGGCGCTGCAGGGTTCCCCATCCCCTGCAGGGGCTTCCACTTGTTATCCCCAAGGCCCATCTGGCTCTTCTCAGCTCCCTCCCTCTTCACAGTGCTTTCGGCAGCACTGGCCAGAGCAGCAGAGCTGCTGTCCTGCTTCCCCCCGGCTCCCCCCGGCTTGCTTTCCGACACGCTGCTGCTTTCCCGCTTTACCACCTCTGCCTCCTCCAGATGCTCCGGCTGCCTGTCCTGCTTTAGAATGATGCTTGTATCTGGGGTGGCAAGCATTGTATTCCCTAGAGGGGAAGCCCCCTCTACCTTTGCTGGGGAAGTCCTGTCAGGAGTGCAAATCTCCATGTTGTCATCTGTTTGAAGCACATCCTCCACTCCACTGGGGATACCTTCTTCAATATGCTGAATGTTCTGGGGAGAAATGGCTGTGTTTTCCTCAGAATTTAAAGCTGTGGGAGAAATGCTGAGTTTAATATCATCTTTAGTTTTAGTAGGCTGATCAATGTCTGATGAAATTGTTACTGTATTATGTTTACCTGAAAGGTTGCAGTTCTCACAGGACTTCTCAGTTTGGGGTGTATTTTCTTGCATGGTCTCACTATTTTCAGAAACTTTTTTTTTCTCTGTTGCCTCCTGCATTACTTGCTTTTCATAAATCTCTTCCTCCTCTTCTTCACCAAATTCTAGTGGAGGCTGCCAGTGAAATGCTTGTTTTCGTTTTGGAGCTTTGTGCTTTTTGTCTTTTTTCCCTTTCCATTTCTCTTTTACTTTTTTGGTGCGTTCCCTTTTAAGATTTTCCTTTAACCCATGCTTGTGCTTCTGTGGCTTTCCTCTAGTGTTTTCTGAATTGGAATAGGACCCCTCCGAATCAGAGGCTGATGACCGCTGTGTGCTTGATTTCCAAGCACCATTACCATCAGACAGTGAAATATTTGCTGAAGACTTTGCTGTGGGTTTGACTTTGACACGAATTTCACCCAACTCTGATTCAGAATCTGATGTGGCCTCACCTTCCTCCTTATCAGAAGATGGCCAGGAATTATTTTTACTGATTTTAGTAATATCTCGTTCAGAATTTGATTCAGAGTCCCACTTACTGCCAGCATAATTCTTCCTTTTGGGCTTACTGCCATTTTTAATGTGATCAGAAAGATTCTCTTTCAAAGACCTTTTTTTTGAATGGGGGCATTCCTGTTCAGACTTGGATTTCTCTTCACCTCTGTTTTTCTCTTGTTTATTATTCATTTCCATTTGGACTTGCTTCTCTTTTTCCTGGGCTGACTGTGGAACATGGACACTTGACTGTTGACTGTCTGAAGAATAATCTAAAGATGACCTGCTTTCGCTATACTTTCTCTGACTCGAAGACTTGTCTCTGCCTTTGACATATTTATTGCGAAGTGCCTTTTCAGAGCTGCTGCTATGCCTTTTATTTGAAGTGTTATTTTTTTTCCCATTGGATCTAAATTTTCTCTTGGCCTGTCTTCCATCATCAGTGCTAACAGAAGAGCACGAAGATGACCTACTACACCGTGAATGACAGCTGTATTTACTTCGTGAATGAGATCCAGATGAGGGAGACCTAGACCTTGAATGTGAACTTGCTAGGCTTCGTGACCTTGTGTATGATCTGGAATAAGATCTACTCCTAGAAGATCTGCTCCTTGACCGTCGTGAGCTTTCTGAACTTTTACTACTGTATTTTGAATAAGTACTCCGATCACTTCCTGAATTTTTTTCTCTTTTATGGTAGGATGAGGAACTACCAGTCTCTTTACTGTTTGTTAAACTGTAAGTGCTTTGGATGGGTAGCAAATGGGTTGTTTTAGCTTTCATCTCCTGAATTCGCTCGTAAGAGGGCTTCCAGGGCTTCTGCCCAGGCTTCCATCGTGAAGGAGGGGGGCTGTCACTCAGTGGTATGACAGGAATATTTTCTGCCACTACTGGTTGTACTACAACGTTTTCATTTTGTGGCACTGTTGCTCTTAGAGGTTCTGTTTTGACTGTTTTATTGTCACTTGACTGAGAGGCTGTTCTCTGTGGTGATTTTGATGCTGTCCTTTGCTGCCCTGACTTGGAACTAGACCTGGACTTTGATCTACTTCGAGAATGTGATGAGGATTTTGACAGAGTCTTTGATCTTGAGGTTCCTCTAGAATAAGACTGAGAGTGAGACTTTGATCTGTAGGAGTCTCTGCTGCAACGGGTTGAAGAGCTCTGTTCATCCTTATCAGATTTAGACCAGTCCCTCTTTGATGAGTGATGAGATGAGAGGGAGGAAGAAGGAGATCTCTGTTGTCTATCACAAGAGGATTTCATTCGTCGGGTGGAAGACTTTGAGGTTTCTATGTCAGATGGTACAATAATCCTTCGCTTCTTAGTCTGTTTGTGCCTTCTGCAATGTTTCTGCTTTTTAGCTTTCTTTTTATGCTTAACCTTTTTCTCTTTTCTGCGTTTTTTATGGTGACCATCAGAGTGTCTCACTGTACTAAAGTCTGAATAATATCCATTATATGACCATGATCTGGATCTCTGGGATAAGCTTCTTTCATCCCATCGGCTTGAACAGGGGTCACTTAATCTAAAGGACACAAATATGCACACTTATAAACATGTTTTCTAGGCTTTAAAATTAAAACACATTTATTGTCAATACAAATGCATTGACAGAAGCCTAGTTAATAAAGTACTGCCTCCACTGACACTTTTAAGCACATGTAGAAAGGGTAATTCAGAGTTGTAAGACTGGTCTTGACATTATTTGAGAGACACACTGACAAGACTACTAACAGACTGACTTACACAGGAATTTTTTTCAAAGTTAAAGAAGGAATTTCAAATTTGATAGGAAAACAGTTTTGAAAGCCAAGTCAACTAATCACAAGAGCACTGCTGACATACCAAGTTTCTGGCTGAGATCCACTCACATAACCCCCTGCCTCCAGGAACAAATTTTGAGGGAGTCAGATCAAGTTCCCAAACAATTCTGATTCTTTGCAGATACAGGATAGCTGCCTGACCTTTCAAGAGAAATCTTTTTTCTTACAAAGCTAGCATGACTTGGTTTACCTCAGTTTCACAGATGTAATGAAAACTTTCCCTTAAGGTTTTACTTAAACTACTTGAGGGAAAAGTACATGAATATACTTGCAGACTTTACAGTTTCAGGGGTAATGTCAGGGCTGAAAACTGACAGTTCTTAGTACCACTGTGTCTAAACCACTTCCACACAGCATATGCACACCTTTTCCTTCTCTTCCAATTTGAAACCATTCTGCTAGATGCCACAGAACAAAGAGAATTCTACTACAAATAATTATACAGGATTCCATTGGTGTATTTTCTACTGGCTATCCCAGGGGCCAGACCCATTTCTGAAATAGATACCCACTTGGGTTGTCACTGAGGGTAAGAGATGGATAGACTTCTGAAGAAACAATAGACCCTGGGGCAGAGGGAAGTTAATGCCACACTGTGTACAGATTCCTATCTACCAAGTCATTCATCAGTGACTGAGAGGCCTGGCTGGGAAAGAATCTGCTGTGTAATTTTTAAATCTTGATTATTCCTAAAATTGAAAAAGAAATCTTCAAGAGATTCAGTAGGTTTATAGTTTTGTGAGGAAGAATAAATTTTCATTTAAAACCACCTAAAGTCAGTCCCTTTAGGTATTCCCAAATATTTTCTCTTTGGTCCCTCTAACTTTAAATGTAAATCTTTAATGAAAAGTCCAGAAGTTAAGTCTCTATTCCTTTAACACTTACAGTAGACACAGGATTGTATTTCTACTCAAAGCTCTTACTTATCTCCTTTACTCCATTTCTCTCCACTGGGTGGTCTATATGCTCTCAATCTCTGCATCTCCTCCTTCCAGTGAGGAGGAGTTTCACTGCTGTCATCATTATCTGATTCAGAACAGGATCTAGATCTTGGAGGCGTGTGATAGCGCTATAAAAACAAAGGCAGGAATACAAGATAGGTGTTTTTAAAATACCTCTCAGTTACAGTCTGCTAGAGGACAGAGTTAAAGAACAAATCACAGACCTCTTTCAAAAACAATGACTGAAATACCAAAAGGATGGTATGAAGTTATGTCAAACATAAGGGACTAAAAGAAATAGGAAAGGCTGAGATTCACCTGTAATCACGTGAGAATTTCCTTTTTTAAATCCTAATAGTTACATTCATTAGCCTAGATTATTCAACATACTAAGATTTCTCAACATGCTCACAACATACTACACATGTCCATTTCATACTTAAACACATTCAAGCACAGCAGTAAACCTTGATTTAATTAATAGCAGTACTTTCTCATGGCTATGGAGAATACAACCAGCTCCTTGAACAGATAGATTTTCAATTAAACCTAAAATTAAAGCTAAGGTTTTGCCTTTAGGTAAGAACATTTTATCACTTAGATAAGTAAGTCTTAACACACATACGATTGTGCCCCTCCCTTTAATCTTCCGTCCAGACTTTGATACAGATGGTTTCTGATCACTTATAATAGGTGTAACATCAGGAATCTTCCTGGAAAAGAAAATTGCAAATTAAAAATAAGCAAATGCTAGGCAGTTTTCTCAGTGTTTAACTGCAGAATTTGTGCTCGTATAATAAAAGCACACTTCACTTAGAACCAACACTTTTCTTGAATGAGGCACAATCTCCATATAACCTAATTTTCTAAGCAAATTCTTTGTTAGGCAGAAAGACAGACATGAAAGGGTGGAGAGAGAATAAAAGCAATAAAGCCCACTAAATGGCACTTAAAGAGTTAACCAGACAAAACCAGAGAGCCAGAAAGGACTCACAGAGTTAATGAGTTAACTAGTTGAAGTTTCAAAGGCCTGTAGTACCTTAGAATGTCTGGATATTCCCCAGATAAAGTATTAGAGCACAGCCCATGTATTCATTGAACCAATTAGATCACGCCATTGTAAAATCTGCTTAGCCTGCAAAAAAGGCCCAGCTTATTCTTTAACTTAACCTATATGCTGTTTTTTCCTCTTCTTCCAGTCCCTTAATCAAGTAACTTAGTAACCAGGGCAGAAGAGACCTCCAAAATGTAAATAAACCTATGTGGACAAAGAATGCTGAAGTCTGAACCAACACAGTCACCTAAATAACCCTATTCTCAAGACAGAACTTCTAAAGAACTATGAATCACCTGTATACATCATACCTTAAGCTGACTCCAGTCCCTGAACCCTTAGGTGAGTCTCCTCTCTGGGGTTGCCTGCACTCCTCTGTCTTTGAGTGTGTCACTCTGTTATACTACAAATTAAGTGGGGAGGGGCTACTGAGAGTGCTGATTTGGGCTTCAAGTTCTCACTGCCTACATGACCCAGACAGGACTGAAGCTGTGCAATCTTGCTCTTTAGTAGCCCGCCTGAAAATCTTTCTTTGCCTTTGGGAAGTTCTTAGAACATTATCTCACTCCATCCAGTGCTCTGCGGCTCCCCCAAATCCTGGGGTGACAGGGACTTAGTTCCCACACTGCAGATTCAAGCAGCTACTGGATGCCAGGTGGTCCTGGCATTAGGAGATGGCAAGGAATTTGCCCTATGCTGAGCAGGAGTTCAATGAGCTTCTCTTTCTTGCCTTTGCCTACCCAACCGTGGACAAGCTCTGCCCTGTCCTTGGAGGCATTCCGGGAAGTTCAGCCTTACACCTGCTCTTTGAGCCCCTCCAATGATTCTGCATTCTGTTGGCCCTGAATTCCCTGTACCAAATCCCTTCCTGTTTAAAATACCTAGGGTGGTTTCCCCTTCCTGAATTGAATACTGATTAATATTCTCAACATATAGAAATTCTTTAGGGTTAAGACTGTCCCTCTGCTTCCGGGGTGCGAGATAGTGCCCACCTGCCCACAGACAAGGCCGGGCCAACCCCCACACTGACCTCTTCAGGCCTTTCTTGACTCTGGCCTGCTCCTCTCTTGGAGTGTATTCAAATAAAACTTTCACTCTGCTTCACTACTGTGTCTTGGCCCTTCAATTCTTTACTGTAACAGGCACAAGAACTGAGGAGAATAAACTCAACCCCTAACACCTTTAAACACTAAAACTTGAAAAAAAGAAAAAAGTGGCCCAACTGGGTACAAATACAAACACAGTATTCTTTTTAAACAAAATACTTTTTTAGATGTCTCTTGTCAAAACAGAGGTATTCCAAGGGAATCCTGAAGTATTCCTGGGTCCAGTACTTAATTGTGCTTTTTAAAAACTTTGTATTTTTAAGTTTGTTTCCCTCACTCTACTATAAGCTGCCCCTCCTTCAGTGCTCTTTATCTCCTGCTTTATCTTATGGGTGATTATAAGAGTATAGTTTAAGTAGCAGCTACTGTCTTCCAGGCATGTAGTCTTCTCACACCTCCATTTGCTTTGTATTATTATTAACACAATGGATAGCTTTTACTGAGTGCTTAGTATTGTCAGGCATTGAGTTAATAAGTATTTGTAACATATCTTTTTGATTGGGTATAATATACATATAACATGAAATTAGCCATTAAAACCATTTTAATATTAATTTGATTTGTTGGGATTTCTCAAGATGGTGCATGAGTAGGGCGGCAGAAATCTCCCAAAACCATATATATTTCGAAAATACAGCAAATACAACTATTCCTAAAAGAGAGACCAGAAGATACAGTACAACAGCCAGGCTACACCTACATCTGTGGGAACTCAGCATCTCATGAAAAGGGTAAGATACAAAGCTGCGACCCGGTGGGACCCGAACACTCCCCCCACCCCAGCTCACTGGCCGGAGGAAAAGAATCAGAGTAGGGAGGGAGTGGGAGCACAGGACTGCTAAATAACCAGCCCTAGTAATCTGCACTGGGAGCACAGACACACATTGCATGGTGTGCTGGATATTAGAGAAACAGAAAAGTAAAATCTGAGATGGAGACTGGGAGCGGGTCCCCACAGCCCGTCCCCTGGGACAATAGAAAAGCAGGTGCTTTGAAAGTCTTAAAGGGACAAGGGTTTTAACAGGAGAACAAAATCGTCCTGGCACACTCAGCCAAGCAGGCTGGGAATTTTAAGGAACTTCAGGTGCCCTAATCCCCTGGGTGGCAGCGCAGCTCCTAAGCCCCTCATGGCAATAAGCAGCCTGCCATTCATTACCCCACACTGACACTGCAAGAAAACTGGCCGACCAGCCATTGCTGCGGACCAGCCGAAGGAGCAGTCCCACCCACAGCAACCATACAGAGTCTCCTCCCAGTGCACAGCTACCTGGCACAGGCAGAGGAAGCCAGCGCAAAGTCTGGAAGGCATGAAGGGGCACCATTCTCACAGGAGAACACACACTGCATGCCTGTGACTCCTGCCAGTGCCCTAAGCTATCCTGCGGGCTGGCCCGCCCACAGCAGCTCAGGGGATTAACCCAGAGACTGCTCCCAGTGTGCAGGTAACTGGCACAGGGAGCGGAGAAGGGCAAGGCGACCAGCAAGCAGGAAGGGACTTTGTTCTCCTAGCTGACACATGAGCCACTTGCTGGTGGTAACTTCTTTCACCATGAAAAGGCAGAAGAACCTAGACCAGTCCAAAATTACTCAAACGCCAGAGAGAGGGCCAGGTGACACAGATATAACCAATCTTCCTGAAAAAGAATTCAAATAAAAGTCATAACCATGCTGCTGGAGCTGCAGAGAAACATGCAAGAGCTAAGGGATGAAGTCTGGTGAGAGATAACAGAAATGAAACAAGCAGATTGGATGGATGAGGAGCAAGAGACTGTTAATAGAATAGAAATCAGAGAACAGGAATACAGAGAAGCTGAGGCAGAGAGATAAAAGGATCTCTAGGAATGAAAGAATATTAAGAGAACTGTGTGACCAATCCAAATTAAACAATATTCTCATCATAACGGTACCAGAAGAAGACGAGAGAGAAAAAGGGATAGAAAGTGTCTTTGAAGAAGTAATTGCTGAAAACTTTCCCAAGCTGGGGAAGGAAATGGTCTCTCAGACCATGGAAGCCCACAGATGTCCCAACACAAGGGACCCAAGGAGGAAAACACCAAGACATATAATAATTAAAATGGCAAAGATCAAAGACAAGGACAGGGTATCAAAGGCAGATAGAGAGAGAAAAAAGATCGCCTACAAAGGAAAACCCATCAGGCTATCATCAGACTTCTCAACAGAAACCTTACAGCCAGAAGAGAATGGCATGATATATTTAATGCAATGAAACACAAGGGCCTTGAACCAAGGATACTGTATCCAGCACGATTATCATTTAAATATGAAGGAGGGATTAAACAATTCCCAGACAAGCAAAAGTTGAGGGGATTTGCCTCCCACAAACCACCTCTACAGGATATGTTAAAAGGACTGCTCTAGATGGAAGTACTCCTACAGCTAAATAGATGTCACCAGAGAAAATAAAATGACAGCAAAGAAAGCAGACCAACCAAATACTAACTAAAGGCAAAAAATAAAATCAGCTATCAACAAAAGCAGTCAAGGGAAACACAAAAGAGTACAGAATAAAACAGCTAACATATAGAGTGGAGGAGGAAGAATTAGAAGGGAGAGATATAAAGAATCATCAGAGTGTGTTTATAATAGTGTAATACGTGAGTTAAAGTTAGATGGTTAGATAGTAAAGAAGTTACCCTTGAACCTCCGGTAATGACGAATCCAAAGCCTGCAATGGCAATAAGTACCTATCTATCGATAATCACCCTAAATGTACATGGACTGAATGCACAGAGTAATAGAATGGATAAAAAAGCAAGACCCATTTATACTACTTACAAGAGACTCACCTCAAACCCAAAGACATACAGTCTAAAACTGAAGGGATGGAAAAAGATATTTCATGCAAACAATAGGGAGAGGATAAAGAACAAATGAGGCCCAAAGTCAGCAGAAGGAGGGGCATGATAAAGGTCAGTGAAGAAATAAAAATTGAGTAGAATAAAACAATACAAAAAAATCAATGAAACCAAGAGTTGGTTCTTTGAGAAAATAAACAAAACAGATAAACCCCTAGCCAGACTTATTAAGAGAAAAAGAGAGTCTACTCACATAAACAGAATCAGAAATGAGAAAGGAAAAATCACGACGGACCCCACATAAATACAAAGAATTATTAGAGAATACTACGAAAATCTATATGCTAAGAAGCTGGATAACTTAGAAGAAGTGGATAACTTCCTAGAAAAATACAACCTTCCAAGACTGACCAAGGAAGAAACAGAAAATCTAAACAGACCAACTACCAGCAACAAAATTGAATTGGTAACCAAAAAACTATCCAAGAACAAAACCCCCGGCACTGACGGATTCACCGCTGAATTTTATCAGACATATAGAGAAGACATAATACCCATTCTCCTTAAAGTTTTCCAAAAAACAGAAGAGGAGGGAATACTTCCAAACTCAATTCTATGAAGCCAGCATCACTCTTATACCAAAACCAGGCAAAGACCCCACAAAAAAAGAAAATTACAGACGAATATCCCTGATGAACATACATGCAAAAATACTCAACAAAATATTAGCAAACCCAATTCAAAAATACATCAAGAGGATCATACACTATGATCAAGTGGAATTCATCTCAGGGATGCCAGGATGGTACATTTGAAAATCCTTCAACATCATCTACCACATCAACAAAAAGAAGGACAAAAACTACATGATCATCTCCATAGATGCTGAAAAAGCATTCAACAAAATTCAACATCCATTAACGATAAAAACTCTCCACAAAATGCGTATAGAGGGCAAGTACCTCAACATAATAAAGGCCATATATGACAAACCCACAGCCAACATCAGATTTAACAGTGAGAAGCTGAAAGCTTTTCACCTAAGATCGGGAACAAGACAGGGATGCCCACTCTCCCCACTGTTATTCAACACAGTACTGGAGGTCCTAGCCATGGCAATCAGACTAAACAAAGAAATACAAGGCATCCAGATTGGTAAGGAAGAAGTCAAACTGTCAGTATTTTCAGATGACATGATATTATACAAAAAAAAAACCCTAAAGACTCTACTCCAAAACAACTAGAACTGATATCTGAATTCAGCAAAGTTGCAGGATACAAAATTAATACACAGAAATCTGTTGCATTCCTATACACTAATGATGAACTAGCAGAAAGAAAAATCAGGACAATTCCATTCACAATTGCATCAAAAAGAATAAAATACCTAGGAATAAACCTAACCAAGGAAGTGAAAGACCTATACCCTGAAAACTACAAGACACTCTTCAGAGAAATTAAAGAGGTCACTAACAAATGGAAACTCATTCCATGCTCTTGGCTAGGAAGAATGAATTATCGTCAAAATGGCCATCCTGCCTAAGGTAATCAACAGATTCAATGCAATCCCTATCAAATTACCAACAACATTTTTCAACGAACTGGAACAAATTGTTCATAAATTCATATGGAACCACCAAAGACCTCAAATAGCCAAGGCAATCCTGAGAAGGAAGAATAAAGTTGGGGGGGGGATCTTGCTCCCCAACTTCAAGCTCTACTACAAAGCCACAGTAATCAAGACAATTTGGTACTGGCACAAGAACAGACCCACAGACCAGTGGAACAGAATAGAGAGTCCAGACATTAACCCAAACATATATAGTCAATTAATATACAATAAAGGAGCCATGGACATACAATGGGGAAATGACAGCCTCTTCTACAACTGGTGCTGGCAAAACTGGATAGCTACATGTAAGAGAATGAAACTGGATCATTGTCTAACCCTGTACACAAAAGTAATTTCGAAATGGATCAAAGACCTGAATGTAAGTCATGTAACCATAAAACTCTTAGAAAAAAACATAGGCAAAAATCTCTTGGACATAGACATGAGCGACTTCTTCATGAACATATATCCCTGGGCAAGGGAAACAAAAGCAAAAATGAACAAGTGGGACTATATTGAGCTGAAAAGCTTCTGTACTGCAAAGGGCACCATCAATAGAACAAAAAGGCATCCTATAGTATGGGAGAATATATTCATAAATGACAGGTCCGATAAAGGGTTGACATCCAAAATACATAAAGAGCTCATGCACCTCAACAGACAAAAAGCAAATAATCCAATTAAAAAATGGGCAGAGGAGCTGAACAGACACTTCTCCAAAGAAGAAATTTGGATGGCCAACAGACACATGAAAAGATGCTCCATAGAGCTAGTCATCAGAGAAATGCAAATTAAAACCACAATGAGATATCACCTTACACCCGTAAGGATCGCCACCATCCATCCAAAAGACGAACAACAACAAATATTGGTGAGGTTGTGGAAAAGGGGAACCCTCCTACACTGCTGGTGGGAATGTAAATGAGTTCAACCATTGTGGAAAGCAGTATGGAGGTTCCTCAAAAAACTCAAAATAGAAATATCATTTGACCCTGGAATTCCACTTCTTGGAATTTACCTAAAGGATACAGCAGCCCAGTTTGAAAAAGACAGATGAAACCCTATGTTTATCGCAGCACTATTTACAATAGCCAAGAAATGGAAGCAACCAAAGTGTCCAATAGTAGATGAATGGATAAAGAAGATGTGGTACATATACACAATGGAATATTACTCACCCATAAGAAAACAAATCCTACCATTTGCAACAACATGGATGGAGCTAGAGGGTATTATGCTCAGTGAAATAAGCCAGGCAGAGAAAGACATAATACCAGGCAGAGAAAGACAAGTACCAAATGATTTCACTCATCTGTGGAGTATAAGAACAAAGAAAAAGCTGAAGGAACAAAACAGCAGCAGACTCACAGAACCCAAGAATGGACTAACAGTTACCAAAGGGAAAGGGACTGGGAAGGATGAGTGGGAAGGGAAGAATAAGGGTGGGGGGAAAGAAAGGGGCATTACAATTAGCATGTATAATGTGGGGGGAGGCACGGGGAGGGCTGTGCAACACAGAGAAGACAAGTAGCGATTCTACAGCATCTCACTATGCTGATGGACAGTGACTATAATGGGGGTTGTCGTCAGCGGGACTTGGTGAAGGGGGGAACCTAGTAAACATACTGTTCCTCATGTAACTGGAGATTAAATGATACCAAAAAAAAAAAAGTAAAGTCAAAATGGATCAAAGACCTGAATGTAAGTCATGAAACCATAAAACTCATAGAAAAAAAACACAGGCAAAAATCTCTCGGACATAAACATGAGCAACTTCTTCATGAACATATCTCCCCAGGCAAGGGAAACAAAAGCAAAAATGAACAAGTGGGACTATATCAAACTGAAAAGCTTCTGTGCAGCAAAGGACACCATCAGTAGAACAAAAAGTCTTCCTATAGTATTGGAGAATATATTCATAAATGACAGATCCAATAAAGGGTTGACAACCAAAATATATTAAGAGCTCATGCACCTCAACAAAGCAAAAGCAAATAATCCAATTAAAAAGTGGGCAGAGGAGCTGAACAGACACTTCTCCAAAGAAGATATTCAGATGGCCCAGAGGCACATGAAAAGATGCTCCACATCACTAATCAGCAGAGAAATGCAAATGAAAACCACAATGAGATATCACCTCACACCAGTCAGGATGGCCAACATCCAACAGACAAGAAACAACAACTGTTGGCGAGGATGTGGAGAACAGGGAACCCTCCTACCTTTTGGTGGGAATTTAAATTAGTTCAACAATTGTGGTATGCAATATGGAGGTTCCTCAAAAAACTAAAAATAGAAATACCATTTGACCCAGGAATTCCACTCCTAGGAATTTACTCAAAAAAAACAAGATACCAGCTTTAAAAAGACATATGCACCCCCTCTTTATCACAGTACTACTTACAATAAATAGCCCAAGATATGGAAGCAACGTATGTGTTTATTAGTAGATGAATGGATAAAGATGTGAGACACATAAACAGTGGAATATTATTCAGCCATAAGAAAACAAATTGTACCATTTGCAACAACATGGATGGAGCCAGTGGGCATTATGCTCAGTAAAATAAGCCAGGTGAAGAAAGACAAGTATCAAATGATTTCCCTCATTTTTGGAGTATAACAACAAAGCAAAACTGAAAGAACAAAACAGCAGCAGACTCAGACTCCAAGAAGGGACTAGCGGTTACCAAAGGAGAGGGTTGGGAGAGGGTGAGTGGGGAGGGAGGGAGAAGGGGATTAAGGAGCATTATGATTAGCACACATAATGTAGGTGGCTCATGGGGAATGCAGTATAACACAGAGAAGACAAGTAGTGACTCTATAGCATCTTACTACACTGATGGACAGTAACTGCAATGGGGTGGCTGGGGTTGGGGGTGACTGGATAATATGGGTGAATGTTGTAATCACAATGTTGCTCACGTGAATCCTTCATAAGATTGTTTATCAATGATAGTTTAATTTAAAAAATTATTAATTCAAAGATAATTCCATTTCATGCTATCTTTATTAAATAAAACAATAGCAGCCTTTAAAAATATTTAGTGAATGAAATGATAACATTATACAGAGACCTGACTGTAAACAGGGTGTACTGCAGAACATCTTTGCCTTCAACACAACTCTTCACAGGGATTTTGCCAGTTATGACAACCACATTATGGGATTTCTTTTCACAATAATTCTAAACTCGAGTCTAATACACAAAAACACTAAATAACTAGTTTTGACAACAAATCTAAAAGCACAAAACAGCTTTTCCAATGTAGAGAAATTATCACTAAGCAAGTTAACAATAACAGAGTTCTGATACTAAATTACATCTCCAATCACGATGCAATTAATTTTGCAGTATAAAAATTGGAACACGTTTTATCACTTGATTGGATTCAAAAAGTTCAAATAACCCTCTATTCTGACAACTACAATCTCACTTCTAATGAAACATGAAATTTCTAAGGAAATATGATTAGTAATGAAATCTTTCAGACCTCCAATAAGAACTTCTTCACTGACCAACTTACCGGAACCCCTTTCCTACTAGCAGAATGTGCAACTACTAGAATTCTGAAAGGCAGGATATATGTTATTCATTAATCTGGTATTTCCCATGGTTATCTTTCAAAGTGCTTTGACAATAGGCTTAATCATCCTACTTACTGTTCAGGTTCTACTGTGACGAGAGGCATATCTCTTCTCAGTAAAAATCGGTTCTCAGGCACTGGAGGAATCTCTTCTGGGCGGACCACAGGCTTTTCCCTTTTACTATTTGCATCCACTGACCTTTTTTCATTGGTATCACTCCTCTCAGAGTAACTTAGAACAAATGAAGTCACCAATTAAGATGTGGAATGTTGTGTTTCATAGTAATATTACATAATAATAATAGCACAAAAATAATAGGAAAACTACTGGTACCTTGCAAATCTCAAATGGTTTATACAATTTCACAAAGAGAACATCAACCAAGTGAAAAAGCCCAAGTACTAAAATTCTGATATAAAAATTGTCAAATGATCTAATTCTTTTCTTTTAAGAGTTTCAGGGATTATTTTCACCTGCAAACACATAAATCTTTGATATGCAATGTCCTGTGCTACACCTAGGATTTGCCAGGTTTCCACTTAAAAGTCCAAAAAATGCTGACCTTTTTCCACAACAGGGAATAAATCTAAGTTTACAGAACTGCCCATACTTTCCCCATTCCAGGGTGTTTGTTTTTTAGGTGTAGACTGCCCTGGTGTTTCACACTTACACTTTTGGGTTCATTATATGTTTATTCCTTGGCTCTTCTGAACTGCTTGCTTCCTTTCGTCTCTTTTTAGAATGTTTAACTTTTAGCTTCCTCTTATGTTTCCTCCTTCTGTTTCTCTCATGATCAATTACACTTTCTGAAGACGATCCTGAAGAGGAAGAGGAATTGGAAGAGGAATCCGAGTCTTCTGAATGAGCTGGTTTCTTCCTTTTTTTCTCAAAAACTTTTAAGAAATATTAACAAAAATATTAGGGCTGGACTTCAGTGCCTGCCTTTCAGAGTAAAAAACTTGATTACTACCTATCATAAAACATGCTTTATATATAGCAAACTAAAAACAAAATTTAAATCAACTTTTTTCAAGTTGATAATAAAGTCTATTGAGATTCTAAGGTAAAAAAGCCCTTGCCCTCAGGAAGTCTATATTCTTGTTGTGTCAGATAAGAAAATATGCAAGTAACTGCATAATATGATAAATGGTGAGTGCTAAAAAAGGAGGGGAAAAAAAGGGACAGAAAAAGGAGAACAGGGAGAGTTGGGGAGTAATTCAAGATAACATTTGAACAGAGATCAAAGGAAGTGAGGGTGGGGGTCATGAATGAAGAGTGCTCCAGAAAGTGGGAACAGCCAATAATACAAATTCCCTGAGTATTTGGCATGCTGGAGTAAAGGTCAACATGGCCAAGAAGAAAATGAACGAGGGGGAAGAGGTCAGAGAAACGGCAGACAGCCAGAGCGTCTTACAGACCATTGAAAAGACTTTATTTAGCGTTGGCCGACTGAGAAGGGAGCCTTGGAGTAGATCACTGTGGTTGCTGTTAACGACAGACTGTAGAGGGTCAAGAGTATAAGCAAGGAGATCAGTTGGGAGCTGCTGAGAAAAGAGTATAGAGGAGTAAGGTCAGAGGCAAAGTGAACACTTAGGAGGCTATTGTAATAATCCAAGTGAGAGATACTGGTGGTTTAGACCATGCTGATAGCAGGGCAAGTAAAAAGAAGAGGTAAGATTTGATGAGATGCTGATTATGGACTGGATATAGGGGCTGATATAGAGGCATTCAGGGCCATTGCTATACTACCATAGTTTTTCACTACTGAAATCCAGGAGGCATCGTCTTCAACATGCATTACCTGTATCCTAGCTTCCTCTATCCTGCAAAAAACTCTTACCATCTTTTGTAGATTTTGTGGCAAGCACCCCACAGTCAATCACTCGCACATCCGCATATGGTCTGCTTGCAGCATCCGTTTTTAGATTTTCAATTTGTTCAATTACTTCAAAACCGGAAATAACTAGTCCAAAGACAACATGCACCCTGTCACAATACAAATTCAAGAATTGGTTTGATGGTAATTAAGCCATGAGCAATAATCAAGTCGACAGTTACAAGTGACATGTCCACAGACCTGAAAATAAAAACAAAGTGTTTGATGTATGGAGCAACCAGAAGGGAATGAAAACTGTTTCATAAAAGGAAAAACCAGCAATTACTCAAACCCAGCCTGTTTTCTGCCTTTGAAAAAATAGTTCTTAACTATTTTATGGCAAAGAGTCTGGTGATAGATTGCATTTGATACTCAGAAACCATCCTTACAGAGTCACTCAAGAGAACGTGATTGAGAAGTCAACCCATTGAAAAGACATGGGTGACATGAGAACCAGTGAGTCTCAAGGCTACTGTACCCTGTGCTCCTTAAGGAACAGCTTGGCTGGGAGAGATTAACCCAGAATGAAGAGCAGCCCTGGAGCGTTCACCCCTAGTCCAAACTATATTGGACTGGCTACCTAAACACCTTCCCAAAGGAGTAAGAACACAACTCTTACCCATCCAGGTGCGGAGCAGGTTTTGTGGTACTGTGCAACGAACATCAACACAAAGAAGATGGCAAAAATCAGGTGTTCAGGTGAACAGACCAGAAGGGTTTAAAGCAGAGCATGTAGAGAACAAAAAGGTAAACATAGAAAGATAAGGAAGTTAAACATGATACACATCTAAATTCAAAAACTTTAAAAATAGCAATAGAAGCCCTTAACTGATTAAAAAAAAAACCCTCAAGATTATGAATTATAAAATCATACCTATTTTTTCAATATGAAAACTATATATGTATACATATATATGAAATAGGTTTGAAATACACAGCATATATATATATACACACATACACACATTAAAATTAAAGTTACTCTCAAAATCAAAACAAAAACAAACTAAAAATTTATCAAGATAATTAAAAAGAATAAAGAAACACCTATCACTTGCCCTATGGAAAGAAAAGTATAATCAAACACTTGCTCCACACACTTATAAATGACTTCTTTTATTTGTTATTTTTCTTACTGAGTCAGTCTGCATCTTTTAGGCAGGTAGATGGAGGTGGGCCTCAGGAGTCCTATATTTAGAACTTCCTGCCCCTCCCACCTAAGGTGAAGTTCTGCAATTCACAGCAACTGAAAACGCAACAGAGAGCAAACCTTCAATCTGCCAACACTTTTGACAGCCAAGTAAGTAATGATGTATAATATTACAGACATTTAAAATTCCATGGTCCAGAAAACACCCAACCGGCTGCTTCTACAGTCACAAACTGGCAGTCACTCAGTCTTAGAAAGCCTTTATGGGTACATCTGGAAAAAATATTTTGCACCAAAGCTAGTTTTCCCACGGCATTTTCACAGATCTTCATACTGTGTGAATTGCAATGGGAAAAAATTCAAAAGCAGACAACTAGACTCAGCAGTACATACCACAAACAGTAGACATTTGAGGCAAAGGTCACTGGATATCAGGCCACGTTAAACCAATCAATTGTACTAGAAGGCAATTTTATTCATTTTAAGGCAATGCTAAGACATTTAAGCCATCAAAACATGATTTTAACCCTCACAGCAATGCTAAAAATTCTTATTCTATAAGATTTTAATATTTATACTTACATTAAGAATATTCAATTCTGTAAGAGCACTACAGAATTTAATTTTAAAAAAGTAAAATGTCAATTTAAGTTCCAGAATTTTAAAAGGAATCTTGATTTTTTAAAACTACTCTCAAATTTTCCTTAGAAGATTGAGAAGTGGTAATTCAATCAACATAATAGTAAAAATGAATAAAAACAAGCAGAAGAAAGAAGAAAAAGAAAAGCTAGCAAACTGGTAAGGCACTAATACTTAAATTATTAAACTAGCATCCAGAAATACTGTGGACAATAAGATAGAAATGTGCTTTCCATAATCTTAACTTTACTGAAGCACATTACAGATAGGAAGAAATTAGTACAGATACTGGATAGTGATTCCCTTGTATGAAAGACATAAAGAAGTAAAATATTTTAAAGGTAAAAATGTTCTACATGTAAGGGATCAGTCTCAAATATGTAGCAGTGAAAACAAGGAGTGGTCTATTAATTAGATACATTCTTCCTCCTTCCCTGATCCTTTCTCTCACAACTCTCAGATCTGGTATTGGGGAAAAGCTTACAGATTTTTCTAAAACACACACAGCCCAATTCAATTTTTCACTCTGGCTAAAAGGAGTGCTATAAAAATGACCTTATGGCAAATCTTTGGAGCAAAAGGTGAAAATACAACTTTCTAGTTAACTGCAATGATGTGGCAACATACTACTTGTGACTCAACTTGAGAATGGAATAGCAAGTTTTGTTAATTCAAATGAAAAGTCCTTTATTACACTACTGAAGAATCACAAATCAAGATAAGAACAATTCTTTCAAGGACAAATTTCAGCTGCCCACAGTACCTAAACTGGTGTAAGTCCACTACTTGCATCCGTAATTTAGGATGCAGAGATAGGAATGTATATTGTAATTTATTAAGACTACATTTTAAGAATACTGAGCTCATCTTAACAAAACAATGCCTTCTGGGCCTCTCAGCCTACATTCCCAGGAGTAGAAATCCCAAAATAAAGCAGGCGTATTGGCACTGTCTGATACTAGACATGGATAAACAGAGGATACTGCCGAATGGGGAAGGGCAGGGGGAAATGATATGCTCAGTCCAATTATTCAATTGTACTAAAATTGTCAAAGAGATCTTTAACCCACAAACTCTTAACTGATTTTTTAAAACTAGGAACAACTGTAAAGACCCATGCAGTGGTGACATACAGCCAGTAAGTTAAGACCTTAAGAAGGCCAGAGATTATCACAAATATGGAAGTTTATACATGCTTATTAAAACATATCTAAAGGAGAAAAAAAAACAAAAGACATTTTAAATCATAAAATCTTTCATTATTTTCATATTCTCCTGTCACTTAGACACTGATTTTCCAGATTCTCTTACCCTGAATCCACTTGAAAAATATATGCACATGGACTCATCTAAACCTCATAAATCCTAGAAATTGAAAAATGTCACTGTTATTTTTAAAAACAATCTATGTTTTTATACCAGTATCCAAGAAGCTTTTGACTTTACACAGAAATTAACAGTTCTGTACTGACATGAAATCTAAACCATTCTATATATAGAGGTGCGGAAGTGTGGTAGAGACAAGCCATACAAGTTAAATATACTTCCCAAGATTAACCATGAACAATAAAACACACTTGTTTTACTTGTATTGTCACTATAAATCAAGCAGAAAGGTTTTTTTCTTAAAATGGTTCAATGCACATAACAATAGGATTAAAGAGATAAAGGCAAAGAAAGAAAAAGAGAGAACCTTAGAGTAATGAGACATTACCTTTGGAGCGCACGGTGTAACACTCTTTCTGTAAATTTTACACAAAAATGGCAAGAAATAAATTGTAATACACTTTTAAGACAAGACTGAATCTATGTTTTAATATCAATGTAACTTTGAAATTAAATATTTTCAAATTTTATGCAAAGCAAGAAAGCTTTTCAAAATGGAGGGCTCTAAATTTTCTTTCACATAGAATATGTATGTAGAGATGAATTATGCTTAAGAAAAACACTGGTTGAAGTGGGACTCTGCTCAGATCTTTGATATTGTAACACTAGTGTGAAGAGCTATGACAAAACATTACATTTTGCTTCACCAATCCTAGACACTAAGTCAACTAACATCTTTCTCAAAAGAGAACAGTGTATCCTGAGTATATAAACATAAAAACCTGAATGTCAAGGAGCAGGTACCACTAGTGGAAAGCAAAAATTTCAATAGAAAGAACTGAGTTTAGAGTATTAAAGAAATTTTTTTCAGGGAACTTTTTTATTGATTCACTTTGAATAGTTAAAAAACATTTCATGTTTCTATATTTGAAACCTTTTTTCAGCCACACATCACACCAAACCTCTATCAGGAAATAACAAGCAGACGTTTGGACTAGTTTCTGCTCATTGCCATTACATACACTTTTGTAGTTAAGTCACTGAAAATAATAATAAAACAGCATAGTTAGAATTTTAAGGATCTTCTCAAAAGAGAAAAAGACAAGAGAGATGAAAATACAAAAGTGTGCTGTTGAATCTTGGCCATGGTACTTTCTTCTCCTGTCTGATCTCTGATTTTCCCCATTATGAATTTTTTTTTCTTAAATGCAGTGTCTGACCAATTTAAAAAACCTATTAAACTTTAAGCATTATCTATTACTACTCACAACCATTAATACACAGAGTGGACAAAATTCTTTATGGGGGTTTGGACATACTGAATCTTAAAATATTTAAAAATAAGCTTTAATTTCTTATAAAGGTATTGACATATTAATTACTGTCAAAAGAGAATATAATGTTTCAAATAATGTTTTCAATGAATGTTGTAAAAAAAAAAAAGTGACTCCAGTGCAGAGTGGTATGGGCAGGGAAATAAATGGCTACTTCTGACTAATGTAGCTGTAAACATGTAATTTTTTCCTTCAATTCCTGAAGCTATCACACCATCATGGAAGATGCACCAAACTGTACAGAGTGGAAAAGCTTGTGTAAGGGCAATGGAAACTAAGCAAGTCACATTACAGTGCTCTCTACCTATGTGTTTCAAAGATCACCAAAACAGAACAGCTTTCAAAGGCTCAGCACTAAAGTTAACATAATACACACCAAACACCACTAGACACGAGATTTCTTCCAGGCTGCTAAAACATAGGTCACACATACATTAAATAATATTAAGACTGGATGTTAAGGGTGACACGACATTCAGAGAACTTGGCTAATGGTTAAGTTCATGAACTTCATTCATGAAAAATCTTGAAATTAACATATGAAGGTGTTATACCCCAAAAAGAAGGAAAAAACTAAAATTTTCAGGTTATTAACACTTACTGGCATTTCCTCTCACACAAATTCATGAATATGTGGAGCAAAAAAGCATTTCTACCCAAATCTACTTTTACTATTCAAAACATCAGCACAGCTTTAAAACCAAAGCACCTCTCAATTCCCCCTTCTCTGCTACTCTGAAATGATCAGCACTTTTCTTCAATTCAGGTGAGTAGCCACTTGCAAGTCTGATTCTTAAATGACATAGAATATATCCTAGAACTTATGTTTCCCTCCCATAGTTCTATTTATGTCTGTTAAAATGTAACACTAGTTGTCTAAAGTTCAGTTTGACTTTTCTACATTATCTTGTTTTCTTTTATTTCTGTAATTATTATGACCATTACAGTGGCCAATGGCAGACACTGTTCTCTGAAGCTCTGCAGGTGTTTCTGCTGTGCCAATGTCCTAACATCAGCTGATGAGATGACTGCTGCTGCTCCTGACTTAGGCAAGATGAGCCCAAAGCTTCTTTGTAGCACCCTTCTGAGTTACGGAAATCACCCAATTACAACTATTTCCTTTAGGCAAGACAGTGTTTGCTCACCATTGTTCCACACATTCAGAAACTTAGGACTAACCTACAAAACACTTTTTTCCTTTTTGTCCAAATTTTCACACCAAAATGTTTAATGTATCTTTGAAAGTGGGGTAGCTACTTTATAAATAGAAAAGGAAAGACAAAACTCACTCAAGATACATGGCAAGTAAACATAGAACCAAGGCTTCTTGATAGCTAGGTTAGTGCTCTAATGCAGAACAGTCAGTTAACACAAAGATATAAACTAATCATTTTTATGATTGCTTTATGCAATAACTTCATTATCTTTTTGACGAATGTTTATGAGACAATGAAAATTAGAGCCAGAATTAAGAGACTGTTATTACTGACAGCCAAAGGAAAAATATTTCCCTGTATGTCATTTTATTTTGCAGCAATGCTTGGTGCTTCTACTTCAGAACTGATCAGCCAAGAGTGGTCAATAAAATTAAGTAGTTTACAGTGTGCAGCATTCTCTTTCCAGCTGTCAATTTCTTCTGGATTATGAATACAATTTCCATAACCTGGACTGTGTATGGTTGTTGTTCTTGACTTATTTAGCATTATCTATAGAATGAAACACTGGAGTAAATGATGCCTAAATCCTTTACCATTCTAAGACTTTTTAATTCTACAGTTTTTATTGTGGTTTTTTCCTAGTCTTTGGCTTAAGAAATAAATAATAATACAAAAGGACAAAATGACTAAGTATCAAGTTAATTTGGTTTTACTCTGGTCCTAGGTCTTTGAATTCCTTCAAAAATACCTCAATGTGGACAAATCATTATTTCCTCAGTGATTCATTCTTGAGCAGTACTATTCCAAAATGAATTAGTTTTCTTCTATTTGGGTCTGCAAAATCATTATGACTAATACAATAGTAGATATAAGTGTTATTGCAAAAACTACAAATAGCTTTATAGAAGAAAAGATGATTTTCATCACATACATAATTATTCCATCCAAAGAAAGCAAAATATGCAAAATTATGTTTAATAAAAATGATGTATACCTTAGAAAGGGGAGGTTTTAAATTCATAAGTAATGAAGACAATAGTTATTGCACAAAGTGCAAGAATCCTTGAGGAACATTTTGCAAATACCCACACTAATAGTACCAAATTTATTCCTTAGGAGTTACAATGTAACAGGTTCATAATACAGACTACAAATACAATTTTGCAAGGATATATTAGAAGTCCTTACTAAGCCTATAAAACTATAGAACTATCAAAGCATTTCTTGACATTTTACCATCCATTCTTACACAGATTGCAGAACTGCTGCTCAAAAGGTCACAGAAGAGCTGTGGTATGAGGGCAAAATGCAGCCACCCTTGGGAAGCAATCAGCTAGCTAGCTCTGTGACCATCAACCTCATAACCTCAACTTTTAGAGCAATTTATCTTGATCATACACAACTGGAAGAGTACATTACACATTTTTACTATTTTTGACTCCAAAAAGATTTGGGCTTGCAACACAGATTTTCAAAGATTTTTCTTTTGTGGGCCACCATCTCCATTTTACCTATCCTTTCCATAAAAGCAGAGAAATGTTTTGTTTACAAAGGTGAATGTTAGTTTTATTTTATCCTACTCCCATGAGGAACTGGTACTTCCAGCCAGTATAAAAAAAGTACATGCATAAAAACTTCTTAAAAAAAACAAAAAGACATACAGACTTTGTGTGTGTATACAAAAATGCTAATTTCCAAGATTGCTTTTAACTGTATAATTTCCATTAAGTAAATTCCAACCAAAAGCAGAAAATGTTCTTCCAATCACAAGTTCACAGTGATTTTAGTGTTATTTATAGTTAATTATGAAAACAAATTTTAAAATGTGAATCCTTGTTTACTGATGTTAAAATTTTCATTTGGCATTTTCCTTGCCAAAAACTACAGTCCAATGTAAAATTAAACTATGCAGAAAAGAACAATGGCCTTAATTTCAATACCAAACATTTTCAGAAAAGACTAAGGAAGTAATAACACAGCAACAAGATACTCTAAAACTTTTGAAGGCAGAATTTCATTTATTGAATTTTAATTAATGTATGCAGGTGCCTCGGTTTTAACTTTTTATGAAAATAAGCTCTTCAGTATGTAACAATGGGAAGAAATTCCTGCTACCTAATAAATCAAATTTCAAATGTGCTGACAAAGGAAATCTAAAAGAAACTTTAGAGCCCTCAGATGGTAGCTTCTTGACCATGAGTCATTAGTTTATCATGTTCACAGTTCAGATAAGCCTAAAAATGGAAATAGTAAACCTCAAAGAGTAAACAGCTTCTAATTAAATTACTGTAAAATAAGTTTTCAAAATACTTGCCAATCCTTTTTTTTGGCCCTTACGAGGATTAGCAGAAAAATACTCTACTGTGTGTAATACTAATACTCCATCAGATCAAAACAAGGTGTAGGACAACGGCTTTACGGCTTCCTGTTTTCCTGCACAACTCCAAGCACTTAGAATCTTGGATCAGCTTTCCATTTTTAGGACATTCTTGGCAAAGAATGCCCCTTATCTGAACTTTATCAGATCATGTTGGAAATTTATTTTCCAGACAAACTTAATAATGTGAGATTTATTTTACAAGTAATTTACTCCTTTAAAAACAGGGAAGCGCCATTCATACTCATCCATTCAGAAAGATGACAAAAACTTTTTGTGGTAAACCATGAATAACGCTTTTCTCCAACATATGTAACACATCTGTAGAGAGTTTCTTCCAATCAAAAGCATTATACTTCATGGCAGCCAATTATTTTTCGTATTTTCTATGATGGGATTTAGATAAAAACAGGTTTTGGTGTAGCTTTAGATAAGAATATAAAAGCATGTTAAAGGTCCTTCAGGTAAGAAATTAGCAAAGTTCTGATTGTGTTGTATGTGCATGTAAAAGTGTCTTTTTAAAAAGCAAATTTAGCATTCTGGGGTTTCTTGATAATCTCATAAATTTTGATGGAAAAGAGAGGAACATTGGGTTGATCCAATTATGCGTAGAGATCTCATAAGGTTTGAGGTTTTTACAATGCTGGCTCAACAGCAAATCACTTATCTCTACTCAGTATCAGAAAATAATGATGCCTCTCTCAAACTGGCTTAAAGAGCAACAGCAAGAGAAAAAAACCAACAACACAATGGTTTACTTAAACCAACTGTTTTCCATGTCAAGGGTATATCTAATTCTAGTCTATGAACAATTTTTAAATGTTCTCAATAGTTTATGGTACATTCTAGCTTTGGCCAACTGAGCCTCCAAATTTACAGTCAAAGCTAATTTCTTAAGATGCCAACATATTCTGAAAATACCGTACACCTTCAAGTTATATCTTTTTCTTCAAATTCAGGATATATGCTGATGGTTGAGATTGTTCGAGCTTACCAGTTACTATAAATTAGAAATTAATGATAAAACACAAGTTGACAGAATTTGAGCATTAAACTTGGTTTAGCTATACCATCTTTCTCATGAACAGCGCTTCTCTGTTTAAGAAAAGCTCATCTCTGAATTATGCCTACTCACATGAAAAACTGGGAACCATTGGTATGTTTCCCTCGATTTGCCATTGACAAAAGGAACGCTCTGTCATGTTTGAGAATAAAGTTTTCATCTGTTTGAAGAAAACACAAATTCGTCAGTCTCCAGTTATAAGTGACTTTTTAAAGTGTAATGTTCACAGCAATAAACAGAATGCAAAGGATGAAATTCCTCTTCTGGTCAGTATACATACTTGACTATTTAGAAAAAAAAGTTTTTTCACTAATCAAATACAAAAGTATAAAAAGACCAAAAAATACTACTTAGAGCCTCGAGGAAAAGAACATGTATTTAATACTTTAATACAAACAGCCTTAGAACAGTCACTTTTAGCAAAGTAACATACTTTGGCTAAATAATATCTAAACTATTAACTTTCAGGGAAAATCAGTAAAGAAATTTTAGAAAAATTTCTATAGTAAAGCTCATTTCCTCCAAATTTCTAATTATCCTGCTTAATGCACCATACATGGGAAAAGTTAAATAATCTTTTTATGTGCGTAATTACTTATGGCAAATTTATTACTCAACTGAACTGAAGGCAGACTATAAAAGCAAAAGTAAAAAATGTTCATATATTAAGTTGTAGGGACAAACTAAATTAAGTGTATTCCTTCCAATCAAGAGAATCAAAACTTATCTAAGGAACAAAATCTTATAAAAACAAAAACCTAAAAGGCAAAATACAACTTTAAGATACATAAGTATCTGTCACAGGGAACAACCACATTTAAGTGGCCTATAGCATTAGTTTCAAACTGCTATAAGCTAACAGAAACACTGGAGCTGTTTCCTTCTAGTTCAAAGGAAAAACTCTGTCATAAAGATCGCTTAGAGATAATTTTTAATTCTAATAGAAAAATTTTGAAGTTAACTTAAATTTCCTTTTAACATTCATCCAACAAATCTTTCTTTAGAACAAACAGAAACACAGAAAACTTTAAAAATTATTACCTTGGGAACAGGCTCTGAAAAAGAGTAGTAATCCATTTTCCCCCAAAAGAAATATAAAAGACTATTATAACACTGAAGCTAGCATGGCATTTAAACCTGGCAATATTGGATCCTATTATAAATCTCTGCAACTGACTTTTCTAAGGCTTTTTTGGGCAGGTGCAATAGTTAGATTTATGCAAATGNCATCCGTTTTTAGATTTTCAATTTGTTCAATTACTTCAAAACCGGAAATAACTAGTCCAAAGACAACATGCACCCTGTCACAATACAAATTCAAGAATTGGTTTGATGGTAATTAAGCCATGAGCAATAATCAAGTCGACAGTTACAAGTGACATGTCCACAGACCTGAAAATAAAAACAAAGTGTTTGATGTATGGAGCAACCAGAAGGGAATGAAAACTGTTTCATAAAAGGAAAAACCAGCAATTACTCAAACCCAGCCTGTTTTCTGCCTTTGAAAAAATAGTTCTTAACTATTTTATGGCAAAGAGTCTGGTGATAGATTGCATTTGATACTCAGAAACCATCCTTACAGAGTCACTCAAGAGAACGTGATTGAGAAGTCAACCCATTGAAAAGACATGGGTGACATGAGAACCAGTGAGTCTCAAGGCTACTGTACCCTGTGCTCCTTAAGGAACAGCTTGGCTGGGAGAGATTAACCCAGAATGAAGAGCAGCCCTGGAGCGTTCACCCCTAGTCCAAACTATATTGGACTGGCTACCTAAACACCTTCCCAAAGGAGTAAGAACACAACTCTTACCCATCCAGGTGCGGAGCAGGTTTTGTGGTACTGTGCAACGAACATCAACACAAAGAAGATGGCAAAAATCAGGTGTTCAGGTGAACAGACCAGAAGGGTTTAAAGCAGAGCATGTAGAGAACAAAAAGGTAAACATAGAAAGATAAGGAAGTTAAACATGATACACATCTAAATTCAAAAACTTTAAAAATAGCAATAGAAGCCCTTAACTGATTAAAAAAAAAACCCTCAAGATTATGAATTATAAAATCATACCTATTTTTTCAATATGAAAACTATATATGTATACATATATATGAAATAGGTTTGAAATACACAGCATATATATATATACACACATACACACATTAAAATTAAAGTTACTCTCAAAATCAAAACAAAAACAAACTAAAAATTTATCAAGATAATTAAAAAGAATAAAGAAACACCTATCACTTGCCCTATGGAAAGAAAAGTATAATCAAACACTTGCTCCACACACTTATAAATGACTTCTTTTATTTGTTATTTTTCTTACTGAGTCAGTCTGCATCTTTTAGGCAGGTAGATGGAGGTGGGCCTCAGGAGTCCTATATTTAGAACTTCCTGCCCCTCCCACCTAAGGTGAAGTTCTGCAATTCACAGCAACTGAAAACGCAACAGAGAGCAAACCTTCAATCTGCCAACACTTTTGACAGCCAAGTAAGTAATGATGTATAATATTACAGACATTTAAAATTCCATGGTCCAGAAAACACCCAACCGGCTGCTTCTACAGTCACAAACTGGCAGTCACTCAGTCTTAGAAAGCCTTTATGGGTACATCTGGAAAAAATATTTTGCACCAAAGCTAGTTTTCCCACGGCATTTTCACAGATCTTCATACTGTGTGAATTGCAATGGGAAAAAATTCAAAAGCAGACAACTAGACTCAGCAGTACATACCACAAACAGTAGACATTTGAGGCAAAGGTCACTGGATATCAGGCCACGTTAAACCAATCAATTGTACTAGAAGGCAATTTTATTCATTTTAAGGCAATGCTAAGACATTTAAGCCATCAAAACATGATTTTAACCCTCACAGCAATGCTAAAAATTCTTATTCTATAAGATTTTAATATTTATACTTACATTAAGAATATTCAATTCTGTAAGAGCACTACAGAATTTAATTTTAAAAAAGTAAAATGTCAATTTAAGTTCCAGAATTTTAAAAGGAATCTTGATTTTTTAAAACTACTCTCAAATTTTCCTTAGAAGATTGAGAAGTGGTAATTCAATCAACATAATAGTAAAAATGAATAAAAACAAGCAGAAGAAAGAAGAAAAAGAAAAGCTAGCAAACTGGTAAGGCACTAATACTTAAATTATTAAACTAGCATCCAGAAATACTGTGGACAATAAGATAGAAATGTGCTTTCCATAATCTTAACTTTACTGAAGCACATTACAGATAGGAAGAAATTAGTACAGATACTGGATAGTGATTCCCTTGTATGAAAGACATAAAGAAGTAAAATATTTTAAAGGTAAAAATGTTCTACATGTAAGGGATCAGTCTCAAATATGTAGCAGTGAAAACAAGGAGTGGTCTATTAATTAGATACATTCTTCCTCCTTCCCTGATCCTTTCTCTCACAACTCTCAGATCTGGTATTGGGGAAAAGCTTACAGATTTTTCTAAAACACACACAGCCCAATTCAATTTTTCACTCTGGCTAAAAGGAGTGCTATAAAAATGACCTTATGGCAAATCTTTGGAGCAAAAGGTGAAAATACAACTTTCTAGTTAACTGCAATGATGTGGCAACATACTACTTGTGACTCAACTTGAGAATGGAATAGCAAGTTTTGTTAATTCAAATGAAAAGTCCTTTATTACACTACTGAAGAATCACAAATCAAGATAAGAACAATTCTTTCAAGGACAAATTTCAGCTGCCCACAGTACCTAAACTGGTGTAAGTCCACTACTTGCATCCGTAATTTAGGATGCAGAGATAGGAATGTATATTGTAATTTATTAAGACTACATTTTAAGAATACTGAGCTCATCTTAACAAAACAATGCCTTCTGGGCCTCTCAGCCTACATTCCCAGGAGTAGAAATCCCAAAATAAAGCAGGCGTATTGGCACTGTCTGATACTAGACATGGATAAACAGAGGATACTGCCGAATGGGGAAGGGCAGGGGGAAATGATATGCTCAGTCCAATTATTCAATTGTACTAAAATTGTCAAAGAGATCTTTAACCCACAAACTCTTAACTGATTTTTTAAAACTAGGAACAACTGTAAAGACCCATGCAGTGGTGACATACAGCCAGTAAGTTAAGACCTTAAGAAGGCCAGAGATTATCACAAATATGGAAGTTTATACATGCTTATTAAAACATATCTAAAGGAGAAAAAAAAACAAAAGACATTTTAAATCATAAAATCTTTCATTATTTTCATATTCTCCTGTCACTTAGACACTGATTTTCCAGATTCTCTTACCCTGAATCCACTTGAAAAATATATGCACATGGACTCATCTAAACCTCATAAATCCTAGAAATTGAAAAATGTCACTGTTATTTTTAAAAACAATCTATGTTTTTATACCAGTATCCAAGAAGCTTTTGACTTTACACAGAAATTAACAGTTCTGTACTGACATGAAATCTAAACCATTCTATATATAGAGGTGCGGAAGTGTGGTAGAGACAAGCCATACAAGTTAAATATACTTCCCAAGATTAACCATGAACAATAAAACACACTTGTTTTACTTGTATTGTCACTATAAATCAAGCAGAAAGGTTTTTTTCTTAAAATGGTTCAATGCACATAACAATAGGATTAAAGAGATAAAGGCAAAGAAAGAAAAAGAGAGAACCTTAGAGTAATGAGACATTACCTTTGGAGCGCACGGTGTAACACTCTTTCTGTAAATTTTACACAAAAATGGCAAGAAATAAATTGTAATACACTTTTAAGACAAGACTGAATCTATGTTTTAATATCAATGTAACTTTGAAATTAAATATTTTCAAATTTTATGCAAAGCAAGAAAGCTTTTCAAAATGGAGGGCTCTAAATTTTCTTTCACATAGAATATGTATGTAGAGATGAATTATGCTTAAGAAAAACACTGGTTGAAGTGGGACTCTGCTCAGATCTTTGATATTGTAACACTAGTGTGAAGAGCTATGACAAAACATTACATTTTGCTTCACCAATCCTAGACACTAAGTCAACTAACATCTTTCTCAAAAGAGAACAGTGTATCCTGAGTATATAAACATAAAAACCTGAATGTCAAGGAGCAGGTACCACTAGTGGAAAGCAAAAATTTCAATAGAAAGAACTGAGTTTAGAGTATTAAAGAAATTTTTTTCAGGGAACTTTTTTATTGATTCACTTTGAATAGTTAAAAAACATTTCATGTTTCTATATTTGAAACCTTTTTTCAGCCACACATCACACCAAACCTCTATCAGGAAATAACAAGCAGACGTTTGGACTAGTTTCTGCTCATTGCCATTACATACACTTTTGTAGTTAAGTCACTGAAAATAATAATAAAACAGCATAGTTAGAATTTTAAGGATCTTCTCAAAAGAGAAAAAGACAAGAGAGATGAAAATACAAAAGTGTGCTGTTGAATCTTGGCCATGGTACTTTCTTCTCCTGTCTGATCTCTGATTTTCCCCATTATGAATTTTTTTTTCTTAAATGCAGTGTCTGACCAATTTAAAAAACCTATTAAACTTTAAGCATTATCTATTACTACTCACAACCATTAATACACAGAGTGGACAAAATTCTTTATGGGGGTTTGGACATACTGAATCTTAAAATATTTAAAAATAAGCTTTAATTTCTTATAAAGGTATTGACATATTAATTACTGTCAAAAGAGAATATAATGTTTCAAATAATGTTTTCAATGAATGTTGTAAAAAAAAAAAAGTGACTCCAGTGCAGAGTGGTATGGGCAGGGAAATAAATGGCTACTTCTGACTAATGTAGCTGTAAACATGTAATTTTTTCCTTCAATTCCTGAAGCTATCACACCATCATGGAAGATGCACCAAACTGTACAGAGTGGAAAAGCTTGTGTAAGGGCAATGGAAACTAAGCAAGTCACATTACAGTGCTCTCTACCTATGTGTTTCAAAGATCACCAAAACAGAACAGCTTTCAAAGGCTCAGCACTAAAGTTAACATAATACACACCAAACACCACTAGACACGAGATTTCTTCCAGGCTGCTAAAACATAGGTCACACATACATTAAATAATATTAAGACTGGATGTTAAGGGTGACACGACATTCAGAGAACTTGGCTAATGGTTAAGTTCATGAACTTCATTCATGAAAAATCTTGAAATTAACATATGAAGGTGTTATACCCCAAAA